ATCTTGTAAACAATTGGCAAATCAAATAAATAAATAAATAAAATAAAATAAAATTGTATAAAGAAGATAGAGTAACAGGTTCTGCTCACTTGCAAACCAACATCTAGAGAATGTGTTTCTGTTTTCTTCTGAATTAGTGAAAAGTTAGACGTGTGTTCACATAGAGACACACACAAAAATATATAAAGGACAAAGAACATAAAGACAAAAAGAGGACATATCCTTCTCTTGCTAGGCATCTGGTAACTTCAGGCATGAAGGAATTTCTACTAAGATTTCTTAATCACAGGCAAACCATGAAATGTGTTCTTACATGTCATAATTTTATTCATAAAATTAAGGAAAGGACTGAAATGCCATGGTTTAGATACAAGTCCAATATCGGATGCAGCTCCCCCACCACCATTTTTTAAAAATCAGCTATAATAGGTAGGTTTTCGTAAATCAGAAATAATGTAGTTGAAATCTCAAAATATTCAGTCCTCAGCTCTGAATTCATAATAGAATAGAATAGAATAGAATAGAATAGAATAGAATAGAATAGAATAGAATAGAATAGAATAGAATAGAATAGAATAGAACAGAACAGAATAGAATAGAATAGAATAGAATAGAATAGAATACTTTATTGGCCAAGTGTGATTGGACACACAAGGAATTTGTCTTGGTGCAAATGCTCTCAGTGTACATAAAAGAAAAGATACATTCGTCAAGAGTCAAGAGTCCTGTGCTGAAGTTGGTCTTGTGATTTTTCCTATGAGATTTTTCAGTTTTTGTTCAGTTTAGTTTTGAGTATTTGAAAATAATTTTTAAACATGTCCTAACTCAATGTCTGGGGGAAAAGCCAAATCTACAATGTATTTTAAAAGACAGGCAGAATCAGAGCCAATCAAATATCAGGGGATGCTGTTGCAAAATGGGCAAAGCACGTCTCTAGAGTGCCACAAGGTGATATGGCCTAAGCCAGAGTTTCTCAACCTCACCAGCTTAAAATGTGTGTATTTCAACTCTCCGAATTCCCCAGGCATTAGAGAATTGTGGGAGTTAACACCCACACATCTTAAAGTTGCTGAGGCTGAGAAATACTGGCCTAAGCAATGGAGCTGGAAGTGATAGAAAAGGCTTTGAATAGCTAGGAATACAGCTATAGTTTTCTGTCTGCCCATATCATCTGAAAAAGCTCAGTGGAAGGAGTTCCCTTATGATGTCTACCTTTGGGACTGAATGGAAGAGGGAGGGAGGGAGGAGGGAAGACTGCATCACTGATAGATGATTGAAAGGATATTAACTTATATCCTTTGACCGTATTTTATCTAACAAATGCAAAGTAAAAATCACCTTGAGAATTCCTGTGAAATTCTTCTTTGAAATTTCTAAACGGCTTCTCTTCCACAGAATTGAATTAAAACTGAAAAAGCAGAACAATTGTTCTATGTAAGACTACTCTGAGTTCATAGCACAGTATTGCATAGTAGCATGATTATATATATCTAAATATTTCTTCCCCTTTCCCCCCTGCTACTTCCTAATTTCCATTGAAAGTCCCAAACACCAAAGAAAACAGATGTTAGTCCAATGGGGTTAGAAATGCTAGGAACTTTCCCCGTACAAAATGATCATGAGCAGAGATGGAGTGTTCTGTATCTTCCAGCTATTGCAGGCTGAAAAGAATCAGTTCAATATCCGTGCCCATGTTGAATATGACTGGCAGCCAAGCCAAGAGGAGATGTTTGAAAGTGATGATGAATTGGATGAAAAGGTAAGATCTCATCACTTCTGGTCAGGCTGAAATGTATAACTATTTATTATTTAATTGGTATGGTATTAACAGGTTAATTGACTTTTTATTGGATATATTTTCTGGTACCAATTCTATGAAAACTACATAGATATTTATCACAGTCACTGAATTATAAAATCAATTAGGTCCTGCCTAATTTGTTAGACTATTTTGATATTCCTAGGACAGAGTCTTGCATTATGTTCATGTTGTTGAATATCAGGGCCTTGAGCATATTTCATTTGGTGGCTAAATGGCCACTCACAGATTTTCATCCAAACGTTGTGCTCTAGATAGACTACCTGTTACTATATATTTAAGGCCATCTTTTTAAAGAGGATGTTTTTGCTAATATAATGGTCTCAAATATGATGATACAAATATATGAATATAAAGAATACTATCTTTAACTTCACTTTTCCAGTAATGTACTCTACTTGTATATTTCAGCCCTGTGTGGTGAAAAAAGATCGCTTTCATCGCCCACAAAGCTGCTACAATCTTCCTGGGCCAGCCTCTCAGTCATGGAAGAATCCAGCCGACTTTTTCAGAGGAACCGGTCCAGCATCCCAGGACAAATTCCATGACTTATATGCTACACCACATGCCTCTAGATCTGCTGAAACAGCATCTCCTCCTACTTACACCTCTTCAGGCCCTCCACTGCCACCACGCAATGCACCCAGAGGTAAGACAGTGTTTTTGGTACTCCTTTGTATATTAGTCTTGGAATTATATCAAATTTTTTAAATGTTAATTTTAGTAAAAGTACTAATCTATTTTAATATTTAATGCAATCTGTGTAAAACAATGCACTTGTGCTTTAATATAAATACAGTAGATGAATCTGAGGATATGATTAATCTATTCTCCTTATTTGCTTCTTACAGTTTATTAATATTTCTGTAATTGAATGTCTTTCTCAGCCCCCAGCTTCCCTCCGCCATTACCCCCAACTAGCAACTCTGTCTATCCTGTAGATACAACAACTAAAAGAGCTATGCCTCCACCTTTGACCATTAGGCATAAACGGACCTCTTCAGAGCCTCTCCCTTCAACACCACTGAATCATAGTCCTTCTGATGGTAAGAGAGCCTACTGAACCACTTGCAACTGGAAAATTCACTGTTGTGGAACAGGGAAAGCCTAAAATAAAGAGATATATGAAGTGACTTTATATTGATTCAGATAACTGATCCATTATGCTTTTGACACTGGTTTTTCTATGTTTCTAAATCATTAGACAAAGTTCGCTTCTTAACAGAGGAAAAATAGCTTTCATTCTGTTTTTTGTTAGATTCTAGATCTTTCTCACTTCCAAGGCGCTGCTCTCCAGAAGGAGCTTCTCCTAGGAGTTTGAGGTAATTGTGTACACATAATATGCAAAATATCACCGGAATATTTATTTATTTATTTATTTATTTATTTATTTGATTTGCCAATTGTTTACAAGATAATAAGTATAAATGTATACATAGTTGTGAATACATGAAATGGGTACATATAAGAAAAATAAAAGAATAGGAGAAACAATAGGACAGGGACGGTAGGCACGTTGGTGCGCTTATGCA